AGAAAGAAAGAAAGAAAGAAAGAAAGAAAGAGAAAAGAAAACTTTCCTGTGCAGAAGTGTGAGACACGGGGACTCACCACTCCTGATTTCTTTATCTATGTATTAGAAGGTTTTATGTGAATACAAGCACAGATGTAATTGGACAGAGTCCTTAGGTGACTGAAGAAGAGCCTTCCTCCCTAAGTTGGTAAATTGTTTGCAAATGTGTCTTACAAATAAAGTTGGGATCTCAGAAGCAATAGCAATTCCTCTTTCATTCACCATCTTTAATAGCATAGTTCCTATCATCAACCAGGACTAGACCAAGTATCTGTCCCCCTCAGCCCGTAATCAGCTCTGCCTCTTATTTCCCTATGTCCCCTCTTTTTACCTAAAATTTACCAGAGTCACTTTAGGCTGTTATAGGGCTGGGTCCAGATTGTCCTTCCACATTCACTGTTAGTCAATTCCAAACTCTGGGAGCTCTAGCCTCAGAAAATGCCATGTCGTGCCATTCCCAAGTCATAGCTCACTTTTCTGACTCCTGCCTTGTTAGGTTGTCTTTTCTCTCAGAACATTATGCCCAGTTCAGGTGCTTCCAATTCTGTGAAAAGCTTTAATGAGTCCCTGAAGGAAGGTCCATCCATGCCTCTTTGTACTCACAATGATCACCACAGCATGTCACTTTGTTCCCCTCTACATTTCTGTTTTTCTCACTCCCCATATTATGCTTCTTTTTATCTTTTTCTTTTTAAAAAAAATGATTTATTCACTATGTATCCCAGCTGTAGCTCCCTCCTTTGTCCCCTCCCAATCCTGTCCTCCCTCCCTCTTCTCTTCCCATGCCCCTTTCCTCAGTCCATGGATGAGACATGATAGGCTAGGGTACATTATGTTTCTTAAGAACCAGTATTAGATCCTTTTTTTACTGTGGTGGCAGAAATTTTAATAATAGCAATAATAATTATTATTTAATTATTAAGTATTAAAATTATTAAATCATTAAATTATTATTTAATGATTTAATAAGAGCAACAATAATAATTATTGTTATAGAAATGAATATATTTGTGTTCTTCAGCTTCTAATCCCACTGGACTCTTATGTTCAGAATCACTTTGTTGCACAGATGCCTACTTAGAGATTGTACAACAGAGGTCACTGTAATGATTGGCTTAACATTCCAAATTAATATGATCTCTATTTGAATATGAAATAAGACACTGTTACTGGAGATGGCTGCATTGGTGGCTAGAAAAGATATGATGCCACAAGAATCAGATTCATGTTGTGGAGTGATGGTAGATAAGAGATACTTGATTTGATATATACCTTCTGGATGCATGTGTGAAACTGTCACACAGAACTCATTTATATGTACCCTCAACACATGTTAATCATGGTCTTAAAAATCCACAAGTCAAATCTGTACATGTAAATGTAAGTATACATGTATGTGTGAGGTACTTGTGATTAAAATATAGGTCCTAGTGTTAATTCTCCCATTACTAGTTTCTTTTCAGTAGAACTGTGTGGGAAGAAGAGTGAGCATCTCAAAAGTTGTAGTGTCCCACATTTGCCTTGAACACTACCTTAGTAGGATCTAATTCCATGTAAAGTGTTCTTCAATTTGAGCAGTTGCTTCTGCTGCCCTTAGGATAGTATCTGCCCTTATGAGAATTTATGTTTCCTCTAATTCCTTATCTTCGGACATTTTTTGCTGCATGGGAAAACAATCTCTCAGTCAAGACCGGAAATTCTCCCAACTCCTCTGACTTTCTTTGCTTGGATATTGCTGCCTGATTATTGCTTGACTCCTTTTCCCATCTGGTACTGACCACTGGTATTTTCAAAGCTACCATCTGAGCACTGATGTTTTAGGCAATGTGCTTGGCTGGCTCCCGTTCCCCTTTTCCATCCCTACAAGTAGGTCTGAGATACCACTAGCACTTCTGAACAGCATGATGAGTCACAAAGTTCCTATGTTCTTAGTCTCTGTGACCGTAACGGATCTAGTGTCCACCCCACGGAAACCTTTTGTTTCCTCATCTCTATCTTGGGGTTAAATCCACTGTTTCTGCCCTGTAGTATGGCCAACGCCATACCATGGGGCCACAGTTAACTATCCTCCACTTTCTGTATACTTATATTTTACTTAGTGTTCCACTGCAGCACTCAATACCCAGTGGTAACAAGGTGTTACAACAGTTAATCATTCCCAAAAATCAAACATATAATTTGATTCTGGTGGACACTGAATAAACAGGCAACCACTTTTCCTCATGTTTAATTCATTTATGTTTTTCATGGATGTTAAGCCGTTTCCTTCAGTGTCTCCTACCTCCAAAGCTAGAATACATACATATATATATATATATATGTATGTATTCTATTCATACAAACATATATATATATGTATGTATGTATTGATAATGTTTATACAGTAATATGTGATCAAACCAGCACTATCTATACTCCTCCTCTGGACTTTAAAATCCCTATAAACTTGAAGGCTAATATTTGTAAGCACTGTTTTAAAGAGTCGCCAGAAAAGACATCAATTCAATATGCTATGTATTCATAATTTGATATACAGTCTTAATACCTTAAGGAGAACATTGGGTTACAATGTTCGCATGTTCATTGTACATCTTGAGAGTGAAATCATAGCTACTCTAAAGTGGCTTGAAATTGCATGAGAGAAATGGAAAGTTTGCCAGTTTATAATTACAGCTGTGGAAATACAATGGTGTGGCTATGTAGTCAGGGTGCTTAATCAGTGTACTTAAAAAATAACAAGTGCTTCTGTTCATAATTTAGTCACATGCACAATTTCTATGGCAAAAGGCCAAATACATTTAATGCAATTCTAAGAAAACAAGGAGGGTTGATGGCCTCTAATGAGCAATTGATTAGCAGTAAACAGAGATAATAAGGTTCCGGTTTCAACTCCATTGGGAAGAGGAAGGCCATTTCCTTTTGCAGTGGCTCCAAGCTGATTAGGGAAACAAGGAGTGCAAGTTAATTCTTAGCTTTTACTACTTGAAGATAACTCCAAATTATGATGAGAAACACAAGCTTCAGTTTAAAACCATATGTGTCTAGAAATAACCCACTGTGTGTAAGGATTCAACTATGACCTGGGATCTTGTCCTAAAATTGCTAAAAATGATGAAAGGGAGATTAAAAATGTATTATACTGTATTATCATCCCAAATAGTAATTATTATGCAAAAGTATACTTGAATTTCAATTTTTAAAACTGCTAATTTGTTCTTAGCAGCTGTAATTTGGGATCTCATAGGATACCATGGAAGGATAGCCAAGGAAGCTTGGAGGGGTTATTGTTGGCGTGAGGTCTTGGCTAACACTTTCATTATCTGAAGCTGTAATAACATGGTGGCCACTGGGTAGCTCAACACAGCTGGAAACCACAATATAAACAACAGTAGAAGGATCTTAAAACATAATAAAGAGGAGAGAACTGGGTCTAGCTTTGAAGTCTTGCTCACCTTTGTTGGACTTTTATATAGCAAAATAGAGAGAAATGAGGAGTACCTGTTGGTACTGAGTCTGTACACTGGGTGTGTATAGGAATACTATCTTGTACACTTGTGCAAGGCTCCTGAGGTCCTACCAGCAGGCAGCAAAATAAAGATATATGGACCATCACATAAAGTCTGCTTGTATCTTACCATTCAGTTAAGCAAATGGCAGTTGAGTCCCTACAGTAAGATACATGTTTTGAACAGATGACAGGAATAATAGAAACAGTACTTATTTCTCAAACTAATATTTTAAATTCCATCCCAAAGTTGGTTATTAACATATGGCTTATTTGGGAATGCTACATTTGCTCTTTTGGTTTGAATATATATGTTGATTTTTAATGAAATTCATAAGAATGAACAGAAAACTTTATATCTACTTGATACTTAAATTAACATTTGGAGGAAATGTTATCATTACAAATTGTAGCTTCTGTTATCTTTTTAAAGCTTCATTTCTTTAATATCTTATTGATGTTCTTTAAGTGATTTTTAACAATTAGTATGATGTGATCTTTTTTTTTTTTTTTTTGTTTTGAGGGAGTCTCTTCAAAGCTCTAGAATTTCTCAAGAAAGAAATGAGTACAGTCATATCTACCCATACAATATACTTGTATCACACATATTTTCTCATGTGTCATCAGCTTGAGACACACTACATTAAAAGCTGTGAGCAAGATGGCTCAGTGGGTAACAGGTGCTTGCCACCAGTCTTTACAAACTGAGTTTGATCCCAGCACTCAGATGGTAGAAGTGGAAATCTGACTTCCACAAGTTGTCTTCTGACCACCATAAGTGTACTGTGGCACATACGTGTTCACACACCCAACAAATAAGTGTAAAATGATTAACAAGCTATACGTGACCTTTCATAAGTTTCTAAAGACATGGTGTATGGAATTAAAATTCAGTTGGGAAGTTCAAAAAATGATGTTTTTAAGTAATAATAGACATATGAAAATTTAGTTTTATCTAATTATACGAACAGATTCAAGATTCGTTTGTTTCTTGTATAAATGACTAAATATAGGGATATACACAAATACACGCAAATGTCTCAGCAATATATGTCTTATCACAAGTGTGGTTGTAGTTTGGCTCTAACAGAAAACAAATTGTTTGGCCTCTCTTCCAAGAAGTTCGGCCTGAATTTAGGTCAGAATATTAGGCTTTTCTGTGTTGAACACATGTAACCTTTGATGTCTGTATAGGCACTACAGCTTTGTTAAGGCTGTCAGGCCTGGATTGCAAAGGACAAGTTGTAATCAAGGCATCTTTCTTCATCCTTCTGTGCTTCTCAGTAGCTGAGAAGAGTCCCTGCTTTGAATTGGTCTTTGGAAGGGTTCCAGCACCGAGCAGGTGACACCATAAACATGTCTCACTCTTGCCATTTGTGGTGGGCAAGTGGCTGTCCATGGTGGCTCCTTCTGGATGTAAATTGATTTTAATGATTTCTTTCTTTCTCCCGGGCAGGATTTATGTGGGCATCATTCATGTGACACCCTGGGAATGGCAGACGTTGGGACCATATGTTCTCCGGAGCGCAGCTGTGCTGTGATTGAAGATGATGGCCTCCACGCAGCTTTCACTGTGGCTCATGAAATTGGTATGCAGTGCCTTTTCTCTTCCCTCGCCAAATCAAACACTTGTAACAGCTGCAACGGGACCCAAAATACTTGGCAATTAATTCCAGATTTCTTCTGGTTCAGATGTACCATTGGGGATTACATTTGTTTATATTTGAACTTTCAGGGTTAACTAAGGAGGGAACGGGAAGGCAGAGTCAGCAGCACGGTAGACGTTTCCTTTGACAGTGTCATTTAAAAGTTAAGGAGAAATTTGCTACTGTCTTTCTCTCTCTCTCTTTTTAAGCATCCCTAAATGACTCCTAGCCAGTATTTGTCACAGATACAGAGGTGTCTCTTTAGAAGTTATTCATGACACTGATGACTCACACAGGGATAACCAGTTTGCACAGGAATTTAGCGTGCTTTGCCCCATCATGAGTGATAATAGTGGGCTCTTGTCACAGGGAATCAGTAGCTTGTGATGAGTATCCCAGCCTCCTTACCCAGTAGTGAGACAAATGGAGCCAAGCTGACTCTCAGCAGAGTTTACTTCATAATGTCACATATTCAATCCACTTACTGTCTGGGGCACTTATAAATCTTGAAATAGTAAACCGAGGGCAGAGGTAAGCAAAGGAAAAGGAAAGGAAAAAGGGCTTCCAAACCACTGACCTAGGAGACTGGTGTCTGAGCAACTGATTTAGCATGTAGGACAAAGTTTTATAATCAGACACAGGCAAGTTCACATGTCACTGTCCCCTGTTTCAAGTTATTCTATTACTGAACTCTTTGAGGCCCTGTCTTCATTCCTGAAATATACGATAACACCTCCTCTTACATGGCATTGTTTTAAGAGCGAAACTGAGGGGAATGTAGGTAGTGGATATCATTTATATGCACATCCACAGACTTCAATTTTCGTAGTTAAATATTTCATTCCCTTTCTTAATTTATGTATAACCCCTTTGCATATTCATTAGTGGCACAAGGCATCATTCTATCATTACTACATTTAGATTATTTTTCTGTATTTTTTATTTAAAAGTTTTAGCTTGTGAAAGCTACAGTCTTAACTATTAACCGAAAATTAAAATTTCCACCTTACATTCCTAGTAATCTGTCTATTTTTACAGGGGGCAGATTTCTAATTATAATCCTCTGAGGAACAGAACAACTTCCGGTTATGGGGACAGTTCTGTACATCCAAATATGGTAGCAACAAACAGAATTAAGTTGCATTTCAATGACTGTATTTCAAATACTAGTCCTGACATTGATGCAGTGGCACTATTGTTTGAGTCAAACATAAAACCTCGATGTAAATAACCAGTCAACAGCACCATTGATGTTAATTCAGTCTGAGACACTTTGGAGCATCTTTCACTTAAGCCAGGGTGCTGAGGTGAAGCCAAGCCGCTGTCAGTTCCCTGTGGAATTTTACTCAGGTCATTTAGACACCTTGATCATCTGTGCTGTCTCTATATGGTGGACAAATAATAAACCACTGTGAATCACACATTCTGGCTTCTGACATCCTCTCCTTGGTGATCTTTACATATAGTGACAGCATTGGCAGGTTTCCACACAAAGGAAATGCTGAGAAAGGCTTTCTACACAGCTTCCCCATTGCTTGACTCTCATGCCACCCCACCTGGACTGGAATGTCTAAGTCTACCAAGGTGACTTTCCCAATCCTCCTAAATTTTTCAACAAGGACTCTTTGTTACACAGACTGATGGACCAGGGGGAGGTGTGGAGCCAGACCGTGCTAGCATGACATGACAATTAGGCATAATTATACAGAAGAACATTGTATGAAAATAGGGAGCTTCTATATACAGAGTAAAGCCAGTGTCTTTGCATATTATTACATCCTGGTGTCTGCTTTAATTTCTTGGTTAAGTTATCTCTCTTCACTTCATTAGGACCCTCTTCGGTTTATTTTCCAACCAAGTATTGTATGCCTAATTTTTCTTTCTCTGTTGCAAATGGCTTAAAGAGAAACTTAAAGTCCAAAAGTAAAAGAACATGCATTTGATTTCTTTATCTAAAAAGCTATTATTAAATTCATTTTTAATTGCTTTCTTATTTAAATTTTTCCCAAGTATTATGAATATATGCTACAAAATGTGAGTCCTAAGATTTTGAAAAAATAATCTTACTTAAAATTTCATCTCTATGGAAGGTCAAAGTCTTGTCCCTCGAGCATATTGACATTAACTCACTGATCTGTTCAAAGTATTTATTTGTAGTTATTAAATGAAGGACCAGCTCAATCTAAGCCCATTGTGAGTTGGACTTTAATTCTACTTTATTCTCTTTTAAATTAAATTTTAGTTTTTATATTAATTACAGTTTATTCAGTCTGTATCCCAGCTGTAGCCCCCTCCTTCATTCCCTCCAAATTCTACCTTCCCTCTTTCATCTCCTCCCATGCCCCTCTCTAAGTCCACTGATAGGGGAGGTCCTCCTTTCTTCCCATCTGACCCTAGCTTATCAGGTCTCATCAGGACTGGCTGCATTATCCTCCTCCATGGCCTGGCAGGGCTGCTATCCCCTTGGGGAGAGGGGGAAGGGGTTAAAGAGCCTGCCACTGTGTTCATGTCAGAGACAGTCCCTGTTCCCTTTACTAAACAACCCACTTGGATACTGAGTTGCCATGGACTACATCTGAGCAGGGATTCTAGGTTATATCCATGAATGGTCCTTGGAATATCAGTCTCAGAATAGACCCCTGAGCCCAGATATTTTGGTTCTGTTGCTCTGGTTGTGGAGCTCCTGTCCTCTCCAGGTCTTACTATCTCCCCCTTTCATAGGATTCCCTGCACTCTGCCCAAAGTTTGTTTGGTTTCCCTTCTTTCTCTTTTATTATGTATTTGCTACTTTTAGATTTGTAAATTATGTATATAATCTATATAGTTAAAAAATAGCATTTTGAAGCTTTGGCTTCTGAGTATTTAGAATCTGCTTGAGTCTCATTCCAAAATATGCAGATTCTTTCATTCCAAATAAATGCTGTAAAGGAGTTACTGCACTCAAAACACAAGCTGGGAGGAAATGCCCACGATTCGCTCATGGATTGCCTACGTTGCTTTTTTTTCTATTAGAAAAAAGGAATCTGATTGGGAATGGCTTCTATTAACTGAAAAAGGGTCTCATAGAGTAGTTTCAAATACAGTCAAGTACGTATTATGCTGAAAGAAAACTAAGTGTTCTTCCCATCCCCCACATTCTCCAGTTAAAAAAACTCTTACATTGAAAGTTAGCACATAAGCTAAACTAAAGTAAAGATAAGAATGACGTCACGCTGAAAACGTCAGAACTGGGAAGGCTGACACAAAAGGATCATGAGTTCTAAACTAGCCTGTGCTACATAGTGAGACTATGTCTCAAAAAACAAAAAGAAAAAGAAGGGCAAATGGTAGAAACCCTATGGTATTAAATTGCTGGTTGTGGGACAACATGGATTAGATTATATATAATGAATGAATTGTGAAAAAATTAAAAAAAGAAAAGTTCCTTTTGAATGCCCCACTTGTTTGCTGGGACTCTTCTGTTATCCTGTTAACCCATTCAAACTCAAAACCAAATGAACAATGAAGTCTGATGTGCTTAAGGTACATGGTCATCTGATGCCAATACAAGCTTCTGCAAGAGCAAGATGTCCATTAATATAGATTAGACCCACAGGCAATTATAAACTGCCTTCTACTTTCTAGGCTAGGCACAGTAAACACCGACTCCATTGCTAGAACATTTCAAAAAAATTGCTTCAAACCATCCATGTGCTTTTGGTGGAGGCAGGAATGTGTTTACAGCTATTTTATGATCCAAATGAGAACGGCAGAAAGTTTTCAAGTTGGTGTAAGTTTACATTCTGAGTTTATATTTTTTTCAACTTGTCAAACTTTTATTATATACTTGTAATAATAAAAATTTCACCTGCTGCACATATGCTCATTAAAAACAACCATTTTATTGATGTTGAGCCAGCTTCTAATATTCTGAGGGGAACAATAGGATTTTATTCAGATTAATGAAATCCATAATTTCCAAGCACACGAAAGCTTTGTGTTATAGTAGTTAATTATAAAATGTGCTAAGTGAATTTCTTCATCAAAAAAGCCTTCAATGTGCTTCCTAAGTTAAAGCCAGGCAACTTTAAAGAGCAGGACCAAATCCTCAGCCAGACTTCGGAAGTGGTTGAGACGCAGCAGGGGGCTGCCTGTGCTTTGCTGTGGTTAGAGGCCTGTCATGTCGCCCTGATCAGTGTGTGACTCTGCCTCATAGATGATTAGAGTAAACAAGTCTATGTTTTGAAAATTGCAGAGAGAGACCCCATCCCACTGAAAAAAAAAAAAAAAATCGGTGGACCAAAGTCAAGCCCAGTGATTCAGATGTTCATGCTGTGAGGCAAGTGAGACACAAAGAGAGAAGGAAGCTGGGATTCAACTTGTTGTTTATCTTCTGAGTTGTCACCGTAATCAACGCAAACTAGGCATATTTCCTGTCAAACTTGAACGAGTACTACAACATGTCTCTCTTGGATGGGGATGAAAGGAAGAAATAGATTTGAGTTACACGTTTCATCACACCGCGATATTTGGCGTTTATATGACTTTTAAAATAAATTTAATCCCAATTTATGTTTCTATAGAGAAGGCCTATTGATATTTTTGCCATACAGGTTAACACTAGCTAGTTCATCTTGGCATAAAAACAAACAAACAAAAAAACTGAAATTGTAATGTGCAGTTTGTTTGTTTACCTTTTCAAATTAGGAAATTGTTCTTTCCGTCTCAATTCAAAGGATTTAGTGATCTTAAAATTTATTATAAATAGTAACAGTTGGAGAGGTGCTCCTTGGTAAAGTGTTCCTTTGCAAACACAAAGGCATGAGCTCAGTTCCCAGAATCCACATGAAAACAAACAAACAAACAAAAACAACAAAACCAGGTGGGTTGTGCACGTTTGTAATCTCAGCGCTGATGAAGCAGATGCAGCTGTGTCCCTGGCACTTACTAGCCAGTTATCGTAG